CTCAAAAAAAAAAAAAAAGTGTTCCCTTGTTTAGTATATGCCTGAGCTATAAAACTCTAAGTTACTTATGATAACTGATTTCAGTGTGGTATGTTTTCAAATCTACTTCTTAAACAGAAGAAAACAACAGTCCTGAAAATAAGCCAAATTATATTTTAACAAAGTGCTATTCCTAAATTTAAAACATTTTTTCCACATTTCCTCAAATTGCTAGATACCTTTCAATTCAACATCTCCAGTGTATAATATATTTAGATTTTAACTTAAAGTTTCCACACATTGAATACTATTAAAAATATTTTCTTTAGTACTGACTACCTGATGTTCATGGAGAAACTACTACTTAGTACACATGTCCAATAAAGTATCACTTCATAGTAAATGCTTTTGTATAGTTTCTTCTAGATGGTGCATTTTCTCTGGCCTGTGGATAAAATCTTTTCTATCCCAGAGATACTAACTAAAGTTTTTACACTGTATGAACTCTGATGTTTAGTGAGGTATGGCTTTGGGCAAAAAATTTCCCTATATTCATTCACTAACAGGTTTTTTTTCACTCTGAGTTTTTTGATATAATGCTCCAAATTCCACAATAGTTTCTCACATTCTATATCTTCATATTGTTTTTTCCCCCCAGTAAGCTCTCCTCTGTACTGGGAGGAATTTAGGCCAAAGTTACTCTCAACATCACTAAGTAATAGATTTTTCTCACTCATTGTGTTCTCTGTTTCACAAAGTTTTGACTTCACCCAGAGTAATTTACCTCACTTATTACATTACCTATTACATTTATAGGGTTTTCCCCCAAGTGTGTCCTCTGATGTACAGTGAGTTTTGATTTAATATAGTATGATTTTCCACAAACATTACATTCAAAAGGCTTCTCCCCTGTATGTGTTCTATGATGTGCAATGAGTTTTGACTTCACACAGAATGATTTTCCACATTCATTACATCCATAGGGTTTCTGTCTGATGTGAGTTCTCTGATGAACAATTAGGGCTGACTTCTGACGGAAGGTTTTACCACATTCGTTACATCCAAAAGGTTTCTCCCCTGTGTGTCTTCTCAGATGTTCTGTGAAACCTGAATAGTAGCAAAAAAGTTTTCCACATTGAATACATTCATATGGTTTCTCACCTGTGTGAGTCCTCAGATGTTTAGTTAGAGTTGACTTCTCAGAGAAGGATTTCCCACATTCATTACATGCATAAGGTTTTTCTCCTGTGTGAGTTCTTTGATGTTTAATGAGATCTGATTTTCTGAGAAAGGCTTTCCCACACTCATAGCACTCATAGGGCTTCTCCCCTGTGTGTGTTTTCTGATGTACAGTAAGGACTGACTTAAATGAGAAAGCTTTCCCACATTCATGACATTCATATGGTTTTTCTCCTGTGTGTGTTCTCTGATGTTGAGTAAGTGTTGACTTTTCACTGAAGGATTTTCCACATTCATGACATCCATAAGGCCTCTCCCCTGTGTGAATTCTCTGATGTTTAATGAGATCTGAATTCTTGTAAAAGGTTTTCCCACATTCATGACATTCATAGGACTTTTCCCCTGTGTGTGTTCTGTGATGTCTTGTGTGAGCTGATTTCTTGTTGAAGGTTTTTCCACATTCATGACCTTCATACTGCTTTCCTCCAGTATGTGCTCTCTGTTGTATTCCAATGACTAAATTTCCACTGTAAAAAATTCCACATTTATTATATTCAATTATACTGTCAATTGAGTGGGTTTTCTGAATTGGAGTGATATTTAACTTCTGGCTGAAAGGGTGAACACTCTGATGTTCAAAGAGAATAGATTTCTCAAATGAGTTTTTTTTATGTTCATTAAATTCATAGTGATTCTCTCTTGGATGTGTTCGCTGATGAGGAATAAGAGATGACATATCACAGAAGGTTTTCCCATATTCTGTATATTCGCAGGTTTTCTGTCCTGTGTAAGCTCCCATATGTATAAGGAAGAGTGAATTCTCAGAGAAAGCATTCTTGTATTCATTATATTCAAAGGGTTGCTCCAAAATTTGAATTTTCTGATGCTGAACAAGATCTTCATTAAGATAGAAGCCATTCTCATTTGTATTATAATCAAAAGGCTTCTCTTGAGAATAAATTCCTTCATGCTTCTCATCATGGAGCCGTTTTCCCCCTTTGTTAAACTCATTGAACTTCTTTCTTGAATAGCTTCTACTAGTATTGATTAATTCTGAAATATAAATAGAATGACAAGGAAGATTAGTCTACAAGGGTATGTAGGAGAAACAGAGTCAGCATTAGGTTTGATGGAATGGCCAGTTTAGGGCATTACCTCTTCATGGCTAGATTATGATAATAGTGTGCATATTTCCAGTCTTATCCCTCTTTTCAATTCTACACAGCAGTAACAAATCAAATATTTAAGAGTCCTAATTCATAAAGAAACAATCCTATAACCTAGTCTCTAATTATGTTTCTACCTCTGATTTACTCAGAATATAAATATATAATATGAAGAGTAAAACCAATGAGTGAATAAGCAATTCTTATCACAGAATCACAATTCTATTATGGTTATGGTATCACATACCAACAAACTCTGTTTCAATGCTTTCTGACTTTCTCCTAAACAAATCTCACCTGATTTAGTATCAATCCTCAACCTTGCTTTTATACTCATGTTTCCACATCTCTGTATACCATGAAAGCCTTAAGAAATACAATTGTAAACCCAGTTCTGGAACTTCCATTTACCTTTATCCTAACACTTTTTGGTTATATATACTTCTTTTTACCCCCATGCTATCCACAACATTATACTGTGTCCTAAGTAAAATGTCTCAAGAATAACACATTTTTAAAAAGGCATCATTGAGGAAAACATACATTTGGGCTTAGATTAGAATCAAGCAATCATTTTACAAGTTTGGAATAAATATATTTTGTTCTGGGTAAGTCCAGCTATTTGCTCCTCATAAATTGCTCATTCTCATCCATAATGTTATACTGATTGTTTTCTCATTATCAGTTTACAGTCTAACAATGTTTTTAAATAGCTGCCTTCCCAAACCTCCCTACAACTTTCAGTTTCATTGACTACCAAAAAAAGGAGTAATTTGTATAATTTACATTAGCACAAATATGGCTGCAAACAAACAATATTCTTTGTTAAACACTGAATTTTAAAATATTTCATGCAGCTCTGGTTTCATTCATCAACTATATTTCTGGCAGCTATTACTCTTATGATTTTCTCTCAGCATTCTACATAGATATTAAATCAATGGTATTGAACATATATTTATTGGTATTACCTGGAGAGCTTTTCCAAACACAAATTTTTCTAGGTTTCATACTGAAATACTTACTGGTTAAATATCTGTAATTTAGTTTAAAATAATTCTGTTAACAATGATAAATATTGTAAAATGCTAATGAATGAGCAATTCCAAAAAAGCATGCATAAAAACATATTTGCTATCTATAATAATAATAAAGGTTAACTTATTATGAAAATAAATGTTTAAATGTCATTAACAAATCTATAAAAAGACCAATATAAGTTTCTCATTCATCTTAGGGCTTAAAGAGTGTGTACATGAGGTGTATCACATGAGATGGCTTTCACATTCAATAATAACTTTAAAAATGAGTATGAACTACTCCTATTCAGAAGAAACAGTAACAATACCACAGATGAGATTTTCCAGTTTCCATGTCAATGTATACCTGACAACTCAAAACTACTGCTTAATGATCTGCCCTGGGTATTGAGAAAGAATCTGTGATAATACCTTCTGATCAACACATTTTTAAATTACAAAATGTTCACTGCAAAAGAACTCTCCACATCTGGTACTTTGACCAAGAAAAATCATTAATATATGTAATACCAGATTTTGAAAAAGTTAGAGACTGTTCAAAATTCTGGTGGGAAAAGAAATCTCAGCAAACTACTGTGTACTCTGATTTCATGACCAGAAATGAATTTTTTGATGAACAAACACAGAGGAAGAATTGAGCTAAAGTACTCAGTGAGCTTTTCATGGCAAATAAAGTTTGAGATAAAAATTACTAAGCACTGTCAGGTATGATGGTGTATGCTTGTAGTCCCAGCTATTCAAGAGGCTGAGGTGAGAGGACTGCTTGAGTTCAGGAATACAAATCCAACCTAGGCAACACAGCGATACCCTATCTCTATTTTTTAAAACCTATAATGCATATATAATAAAAACCAAAAGCCATTACTCTGTATCAATCATTGTTTCCAAATTCTTGGCTCAGGTTTCTCATTTCTAACTTCTATATTACCTACTGTATTTTCAGCAAAGTTTTTTCTACTTCTGTTTCTTCAAATTGTACTTTAATAATTATAGTAATTTTATTATTTTTTCCCAAGAATTTCCTATGTTTTAACAGACAGCTCATAATGTAACTTCTTATGGTCTTACTATTCCTTTCCTAATTTCTTCTTTTCCTCTTTCATGTTCTTGTACACCAGAAACAATTATTTCATTGGTATATTAAAAATTAGTGACAATATCCAGGCATTACATGCTATAGGAACCTAAAAGAGAAGGCTTTGAAGTGATTCTTGCTTAAGAGAAGGCAATATGCAAAGGAGACAGCAGGACCAGATAGGCAGTCTCCAGGTGAAGATACATTTGGGGAGAGTTACCTTTTAGATAAATAATGTTGAATTTGTTATCAAATCTCATTAAAATCTGATGCCTGACAATTTAAAGGCTGGTAATTCTCTGTCCTGCTGCACCCATTTTTGGGTGAGCCAGTTTATAATCTACCACTGACAAAGTGAAAATGACTTTTAAAAAGAAAACTCTATAAGAAAGGCCTTGCTGGCCAAAGCTATCCCTCCAATGCCTGGTGTCACAGGGGTTTTTCTCTAAATGTCTGCTGTCTAATGCTACTGAAAGAGTTTGAGTGAACTGTGGAAACATGATGGACACTGGTTGAACTGTCTGGGCCACTTATAACCATGCAAAGGACTTGTTCAGATGAAAAATCCTGCACAACTCAGATTATAGAAACTCAGTGCATTTTTGAATTGTGATTCCTCTGGAAGGTTCGAGGTTAGGGGATGGCCAAATATCAGGGAGCCCGTTCATTTCCACAAAAGTGACCAAATCTGAATTTCAGCCTCTCCCATTACAAAATGCAGTTGTCCCAGGAAGAAATGGTCTCTAGGTTACTAACTAGGAATGACTAGGCATGATGAGGATGAAAGGTGTATGTGTTGGGGGGAGGGCAAATGGGAAGAAGAGGAGTCATATCAACCTATTCTGAAAATTGATGATATCACTCTGGCCATTCTTCTGGGCATGATGGGTCCTCATTCTTCAAACAGCAACTCCAGGCCAGAGCTTGGCCAAAAACAGTTGGAGACTCATACTTAATTCTAAAATATTTAAGTTGTATAAAAATATTTTTCTGTTAAAAGATTTTGGTCTCTCTTGCACCCAGGCCTTCCAGACAAAAGGTCTGGATGGAAGTAGAGAATAAGTAGAAAACATGTGAAGCTGCAGTTAGCAATGAGGCACACACGCAACAGAGGAAAAGCAAAAACCCTGGCACCTGGTTTGTGGGAAGGGGTCATTGATCTTCTTTGTCCTTAAGAACCACTCCTGAAATCCTCTTCCCAGAAGGGAAATGCCCTTGTTCTCCCAAATTGCTACCAGACTTCTTAACACAACAGCAAACTGTGGTGAATCCTTGGCATTCAAACTGGCAGCTGCTTCTACCATCCCCACCTGAAGATCCGACTGTGAGATAACAGCTCTTACATTTTCCACATAGAATACCTCCAGACATTGTCCATACTATGAGGGAGGGCAGATGAACTGGTGTCTTGGATAAGCAGGAGTGTTTAGAACTACAGCCCCTCTGATATAAGGACTAAACTAATGGGGAGCCACACTGGGTGGTGGGGGGGAAGCACCTAACAATTGCAAAATCTTTATTTCTAGAAATACCACATTTTCCCTCTGGTATTGTGCTTCTTTGTGTGAGAAAAGTAGGTGATTTAATTGTGATTTGTACCTTGGGGTAGTAACAGTAACATTCAAATACTTGAGAAAACATCCTTGCAGTATAATAAGCCTCAGACATGCACTCTGTGAGTTGTTTTTCCTGCAGTGCTATTATTCCCCTAGAAAGGGGCACATAATTTGTTCTTAACTTTAACTGAAGTGACTTGTGACTTGCTTCAGCTTAGAAAGACATTCAAATCAGCTTCAACTTACTAGCCAGAGTTGAAAGGATGACAGGACATGCCACAGACTTTTTGCAGGTTGAAGCAAAGCTGGGCAAAATATTAATTATATCCTGGGATAATACCTTGAGTTAGGTAAAAGGTTGGCAGAAAAACTTTGAGAGAAAGCCACCTAGCTTTCTAAGATAAATCTCTATGGTTAAAGAGTAAAACAAAATGACTTTGGAACAGCATATTTATAGAAAATTGGCAAAAAAATCGCCTATGGAGAAATAAAATGAGTGGCACTATGGGGTTGTAGAGAAAATAATTTTATGCCTTTGCACAGTTAGGACTTTTTGAGCAAGTCTTAATGAGGCTTGGGGACTTAAGCTAAAAGAATAAGATTTGGAGACTTATAACTCATTAGAATAGAACTCCAGAGAGATTTTTCTCCTAGAGATAATGAAAAGAGGTACCTATAGAAACCTAGAATAAACTTAGTTTAGAGTAGTCTTTTTGCCTCAGCATAACCATTTTTTGCTTAGACTTTACCCCTGATAGGCTTTGAATCTAGCATAGGTTAGACATAGATAAACTTCCAATAGGCAAGTTTTAGGAAGCATTCAGACATACTACTGCAGGCCAAGCTGGCAGCCTATCCCAGCCCCTTGGCAAATCTCCATCAGATGCAAGACCAGGACAGCTCAACAGCCCAACCTTTCAATTCATGGTTTAGCATAATAATCTCTAGGAAACTTTCAGGTTCCTTGTCAAGGTGGAAGATCAAAGATCACCCCTTGGCTGGCCAAAGCCATAGAAATGACAATAAGACCACCTTTTGGTCAAAGAGTTTGTGGATTGTAAACTCTGACAAGTCTCTTGCAGGAAAACCCCCTCCCCTTGTCTCCTCCTATCTAGCCCACCACATGAGTTCTGGTATTCTGCAGCATTGTGGAGTGAATAGGTTAATTTACATTAACATATCAGTATTCAATAATTTTTTTATATTTTCAAAAAGCTAGTAGAGAGGATCTTGAATGTTCATAACAGAAAGAAATGATAAATGTCTGTGTTGATGAATATGCTAATTAACCTGATTTGATCACTATACATAGCATACACATACCAAAATATCATTCTGTACCCCATAAACATGTATAAGTATTGCATGTCAACTAAAAATAAAGTGAAAACAGAAAAGACGTACACAACAATATTTACAATAAAGTTTTTAAAATACCCCCAAACTGAAAACAACCCAAATATGTTTCAACAATAGGACAGATAAACTCTGCTATAGTCATACACAATGGAATGCTACATAGTAATATAAAGCAACAAACTACCAATATACACAACATGGATGACCTGACAGACATAATGCTGAGCCAAAAAAGCCAGACACAGATGCTCCTGGACTTACAATGTTGCTATATCTCGATAAACTCATCATAAGTTGACAGTATTCTAAGTTTACAAATGCGTTTAACACCATAGCTTAGCCTAGCTTACCTTAAACATGTTGAGAACACTTCTATTTGCCTAAAGTTGTGTAAAATCAGCATGTTACAAATATGTAACAAAATTATTATAAATAATACTGAATCGAAATTCAGAATTCAAACTACATTTTTTACTGAATGTGTACTGTTTTCACACAACTGTAAAGTCAAACAAATTCTAAGTCAACCATCCTAAGTTGGGGAGGATCTCTGTGTGTGTCTATGAATATGTGTGGAGAGAGCAAGAGTATATATACAAGAGAGAGTATATATATAGTGCTCATATACAAACAGTGTATACTATATGATTACATTTATCTGCATTACACATATATAGTATATATAGTGTTCATATAAACATAGCATATACTATATGATTACATTTATCTGTAGTTAAAAACATGACTATGGTAATAGAAGGAAGGTGTTATTTACTGAGAAAAGAACACCAGGGAGCTTTCTGGGATTGTGAAAAATGCTCTAAGCCGGGCTCGGTGGCTCAGCCTGTAATTCCAGCGCTTTGGGAGACTGAGGTGAGTGGATTGCCTGAGCCCGTGGGTTCAAGACCCGCCTGGGCAACTTGGTGAGACCTCATCTCTATAATAAATCCAAAAAAAAAATTAGCCAGGTGTGGTAGTGCATGCCTGTAGTTCCAACTATGTGGAAGGCTGAGGTGGAAGGATCGCCGGAGCAGCCACTGCACTCCAGTCTGGGCGACGGAGTGAGACTCCAACTCAAAAATAAATAATTAAAAAAAATGCTCTATATATTCATCTAAATGATGGATACATGGGTGTGTATCCATACGTAAAACTGTATTAAGCTGTGCACTTAAGTCTATATTTTTTATACTTCAGTTTCAAAAAAATTTTAAAATGATATCTCAATTAAAAAAAAAAAGGACAGCATGTGTGTATGAGAGTGATACTGGGAGATGCTAAGTGATTCAAAGATACTGCATATTTGAGTTATGTCAACATGCTACTGCTAAAGGCCTGGAGCCTCTAAGATATGATTCCTGAAGAACATCTCAATGGTCTTAATCTCAGTTAACCCTCGTAATCTACTTTCCTCTAAATTCCATCTGGCACATACTCACTCACCTGGGTGGCTCTGGCTTGGGAATTCTTCCTCTAATATCCATGGCTCTTCTCCTTTCTCCAACTTGAGGATCACTTCTGGTTTAGGGGTGCAATACCCTGTGAAAAAAAATTATAAGACTTGGGTCAAGCCAGGTGGGTTTCTCTGAAGGAAGAAGACAGTGGATCTCAAAGAGCACGCATAACACTCACATACACAAGCCCATTGAGTCCTGTCATGGGGCAGAGGAAGACATTCTTTCCAGTACCCATAAGGGACAAATTGTCCTTAACCTATGAATCCCAAACCTAAATATTACTATATTCTATAAAAGTTCCACAAATTTCTGTAAATAAGAAATACCATGCACACTGGTCATCTACATGGAAAATAATTCCTACCTACCCACTGAGATGAGGTGGCTATAGTTCTCCAGCATCACATCCCTGTACAGGGTCCTCTGAGCAGGGTCCAGATGCTGCCACTCTTCCAGAGTGAAGCGCACAGTCACATCCCTGAATGACACTGATCCCTGGAAAATCACAGTTCTGTTCAGTCTAAAGTAGTCAGGATCAAGTTATACAATACAAATGTTTAAAGATGAATTCTTGCCACCTTTATAACTGAAAATTAACCAGAAAATGTTACAAAGGTCCTCTACTATACACCTTTGTGTTATACTTTTTAGGTTGAAAAAGAATCAAAGTAGAAATATTCTGTCAGTACATTAGTGTACTAAGTATTGAAAAATATCTGAATGCCCACATGTGTCTGGAACTATATTAGTTTCTAAGTATTTCAAGTTGAATACAAAACTCTTCCATATGAGAAATGAGGTACATATCCTCTCATGAGGACACATATGTTCAAAAGCATACCTACCAAAGAACTTAAAAGACCCATATCGCAAATGTATGCAACACAGACAGAGATCATAAAGGGGTTATTTGCAAGTTCATGTGAGAGTTCATCTGCATCCTGGATTTCATTAAAAGGATAAAATTTTAACTTTTTGTAAACATTTGGCAAAAATGTAAGAAAAGGTAAGATGATCTGAAAAAATATGGCAAGTCAATGGAACTGTATAACAGAACAAGAGAGCAGATCTGAACTGTGATGAGCTAAAGGCTGCAGAGGCATGGAGGGAGACTAGGGAATACACTGGGCTTTAATCTTGTCAGGGTTCTTCAACTATCTATCACTCACCTAACCAGGAAAATTTTAGAGCTATCACCAGTTTTATTTGTAGTTATAAATTAAATAAAATGCTGTCAATGCACATATGAGAAAAGTTTAATTTTGTTCTTATTTTTTAAACAAAAGTGTAAATAGCCATGCTAACATTTTTTTCCCCATGCCCTAAAGGACTGACAGTATATGACATACACAGGATTATTTTGCACACTTCTTTGGTGGATAGCCTCCCTGCCCCACCCACCCCAGGCCACTGACATGAACAGCAGAAGCCAATGGTTAACTGGAAATACACACCTGAGTCCCTGTTACATAATCCAATTTTCACTGAGGAGGAAAGCTCCCAAGGTACAGGAGACTGTGCTGCACAGTAGCATTGGAATTGGATTGTCTACATTAAGTGGTAGTAGTACAGTCATAGAACAAGGAACTTCTTAAGCAAAGGGAGAGAGAAAGAGCTACTCCCAGAGGGCCTGCAATGAAAACCTTAAAGGGTCTGCAAACTGTCAAGTCCAGAGAACCAGAAGGAAGAGTTGGGGGGTAGGGGTTGGTGACTGACAATGACACACATGCAGGTCATGCAGAACTCTGAGTATCTTCAGAACATGGAAATGAACATGTTCACTGGAAGTGCAGGTAGATGATTCTGGAGTGCAGGGGAGAGATCCAGCATGGAAATACAGATTTGGATGAAAATGGCTACTCATTGCCACTGGTGCCAACCAAGTAACCAGATATTTACAGAGACAAAGATTGAAGAAAAATGTCAGCGCAGAATTTGAACAGATACCAATATTTAAGTGGCTGGCAGAATAAACAAAAATAAGCTATGAGGGTTGAGAACAAATATGCTGAAATGTGAGAAGAGAACCAACATGTTAAACTCAAAGAGCTTCAAACTAAGTGAAATAATCAAACTGTCAAAAGATAAAGAAAGAATCCTGAAAGCAGCAAGAGAGAAGTGAGTCATCATGTACAAAATATCTGGAATGAGGTTAACAGCTCATCTTTCATTAGAAACCATACAGGCCAGAAGGCAGTGGGATAACATCTGTAAAGTGGTGAAAGAAAAAAAAATTGTCAACCAAGAATTCTATACTTGGTAAAACTATCTTTCAAAAATGAGGAAGAAATGAATACATTCCCAAATAAAATCTGAGGGAATTTGTCAGTACTAGATCTGTCCTACATGAAATGCAAAAGGAAGTCCTTCAGGCCGAAATAAAAGGACACTAGACGATAATAACTCTAATTCAAACAAAGCAAAATTTAAGTGGTGCAGGTAACTACTATAAGTAAAGTTTTAAAAGCCAGTCTTATTGTATGTGTGGTTTTTAACTCCTTTTTTTTTCTATATGACTTATAAGACAAATGCATAAAATAATAATTATAAGTCTATGGTAAAATGCACATAGTTTATGAAGATGTAACGTGTGACAATAGCAAGACCAATGGTGGAGACAAGCTGAATGGGGCAGAGTTTTTAATATACTATTAAGATTAAGTTGACGGAGCAAGGTGGCACACATATGTTAAAAAATTTTTACACCAACAAATTAGATAACCTAGTTGAAATGCATAAATACTTAGAAACTACCAAATATGACTCAAGAAAAACAGAAAATCTGAACAGACCTAGAGCAAAAGATTTAATCAGTGACTTAAAAAATCCAAAGATCAGAACCACATGCTTCTATTAGTAATTTCTACCAAATGTTAAAATAATTAACACCAATCCTGCCAACTCTCCCAAAAAAACAGACAAGAAGGTACCCTTTTAATCAATTCTGTGAGCCCAGCATTGCCCTGATATCAAAGCCTGATAAGAAAACTACAGCCCAATATTCCTTGTGAATACTGATGCAAAACTCTCAACAAAATACTAGTAAGCCAAATCCAGCAGCATATTAGAAGGATTATATACCATGACATGACTTTACCAAACAAGATTTATCCCAAGAATGCAAGAGTGGTTGATACAGATAGAATGTTTGTATCCTCCCCAAATATATACGTTGAAACACTAACTCCCAGAAGGATGGTATTTGGGATGGGGCCTCTGGAAGGGAATTAGGTCAAGTAAAGCCCTAATGATGGGATTAGTGCCCCTATAAGAAGAGATGGGAGAGAGCTTGCTTTCTCTTTCTGTCATGTGAGGATATAAGGAGAAGACAATAATCTGTAAACAAAAAAGAGGGCCCTCACCAGAATCCAACCATTCTGGTACTCTGGATCTCAGACTTTCCAACCTCTGGAACTGTAAGAAATACATTTCCATTATTTAAGCCACCCAATCTATGAAATTTTTGTTATAGCAGTCCAACCTAAGACATACAAAAAAACCAACCAGTAGAACATGCCACATTAATCCAACACCCTTTATGATAAAAATACTCAACAAACTGGGAATACAAAAAAACTCCCCCAACATGATAAAGGGCATCTATAAAAAACTCACAGCTAGTATCATGTTGGATAGCAAAAAATAAATAAATAAAAATTAAAAAATTCCTTATTATCTTCCTAACATCAAAAACAAGCCAAGATCTACAGATGTAATGTACTTACCAAAATCCCAACAGCGATTTTTGGATTTTGCAGAAATAGAAATAGAAAAAAAAAATCCATCCTAAAATCAATATGGAATTTTAAGGGATGTCAAATAGCCAAAACAACGTTAGAAAAGAAGAACAAAGTTGGAGGCCTCACACTTCCTGATTTCAAAACTTATTACAAAGCTACATTAGTCAAAACAGCATAGTACGTGCATACAGACAGACATACAGGGGAGGCGCAGAAGACGGCGGCTGAGCCAGTCAGACTATGCAAGTCCCCATGTAAGTGAGTGAGTGTATGGAAAATTTTGTGTATGTGCTGGTGAGCGATTGGGCATGTGAGTAGCTGAGTGAGTGAGCGCTAAGGCGCTAGCCGCCAGGACTCTCCTGGTGCAGTTGCTGGTGCCACAGCATCTGGGCTTGGACCCTAGCGATTCCCAGGACACAGAAGCCAAGTCATTTTCTCCTTCTTTTTTTTTAAATCAACAAACCCTTCCTGGCAAGAAAACGCTGAGAGACTGTCTAAGTGGGGCTTGTGAGAGGGTAACCAGGCCCCTGGTGCAACAGCAGGTGCTGCAGCTTCTCTACTTTGTCACTGGCTCTTCCCGGTCACGGAGCACCATTAACAGAAGTTTTCCTTTTGAAAAGAGGTAGGGAGGTACTGCTGCCCCAGGCGCCCCCACACCATTGAAGCAAGAGAGAGACTGCTCAGGGCTTTGCCTCAACATTTCAGTCCCTGGCAGGGCGCTGGAAGGGGCTGTGGACGTAGTTCAGAGGCAAGTTCCCATAGAAGAGGACAAGAGAGGCACCCCATCACCATATTGAAGGTGGGGAAGGAAATTACTCCGCCTTGATCACCACGGACCAACAGAACCGATCTCTGTGACTGGAGGATCAACTACTCAGGGCCTGATCGTGGCCCAAAGGGAATATCCTGAGAGCACAAACTTCAGAGGGACCTGATGAGAGCTGAGTTCCAGGAGCCCCACCCCCTACCCTGATCCAGCTGTGGGACAAAGGGTGTGGCCAGAAAAGGATAAGGAAGAACTCCAAAGAGATCTGTGGTGAGTCTGGGGCAGATCCAAACCCCCTCCTTCCCAGCAATCCTCTGAACGTCAAACCCACACAGCTGGGCCACGACTGAGAGGGACAAGCCTGGGACGTCAGTCGCTATAGGACAGCTCCATTCCAGGATAGGCCTGGCTGTGACACCCCAATGAGAGTACATACCTAAGGAAGAGACAGTCCCGTACCTCCCCACCAGAGATCTCCCTGACCATACGAGAGTGAGGGGAGGCCTGCAGCCCCACCCACCTCCACTGTCTCTCCTTTCCTACTTCGTTCCTCCAAGAGAGAGTGAAAGAGGTGGTTCTGCAGGAGAAAACTAATTAGAGGAACAATTACCGAGCCTACCACAAGAGGGCAGGGTTTTTTTTGTTTGTTGGTTGGTTTTTTTTTTAAATTTTCAATTATTTTTTAATTAAAAAAATTGTTTTGACTGCTTGTTAGTTCATCTATTTTAAAAATATTTTTCCTTTGTGCATGAATGTGTATGTGAGGGTTTGATCTGCATCCTCCCCCCAAAAAAAAATTTCTTTTTTTTTCTTTTCTTTTTCGGTTTCTTTCTTCTTTTATTTGTTGTTTTCTGTTTGGGTATGTATGTGAATGATTGAATGTTTATCTTTTGATTTTGTTGTGGTTGTTGGTTTTTGTTCTTTTGTTCTTCTGGGTCTTTTTTATATTTGTTTTTTTAGTTTAAGGGTTATGTCAATAGATGTGTG